ATGCTCCCCACCCTTCTTTCTCGCTGCTGGTGTTATTCATTTTAGATCCTGCCAATTCCCAAAAGTGAGGATTGAGGGGGAACATTAGAGTGAGCTAGCTGCACCATTGTAGTTTGCACAATAATATTGGTGGAGGATGGTCACATGTTATATACATGTTCAAAAGTGGTGCAAAATTTGTGGGGTATATAGACTGCTGCACTGAGTGTTAAAATTTTTTATCAATACATAGGGGGCAGAAAGAAGATTGAGATAGCTTTGTATTAGAGAAGGTAGATACCTATTGGAAGTATATTTTTAATGTAAGAAAATTAACTTTTGAAGATTATGTACAATGTTGTTGTTTTGTACATGATGATATGAAAGCTAACATTAACCTAAAAGTATTTCTTAACATTTTGCACATAGTTTTGCTAGCGTGAGTCTTTGTTTAGTAAATGCTATTTTTTATGAATATACACATACACACACACATTCAAACAAACACTGTGTGTGTGCCTGACACTATAGAAAGTTGCCTTTACTGGATTTAGACTACTTTCTAGACTAACTTGGTTGAGATATTTTTTATAGACTGATGAAACCTCATGTTAATTAGTTAAAATGTTAATGCCATGGTTACTCAGAGCAAATAGCACTATCACATGCTCTCTACTTTTGTAAACAAGGTTAAAAGTTTGTATATATTTGCAGAACAGAATATTTTGGGAAAATTCTATATTAAAATAAAAAGGTAGAAAATGCATGGTATGCTTGAATACCAAATTGTTAAGCACAATGGACTTTCAGTGTTAAATTGTAAAACTAATGAAGTCCACAAAAGTTTTTCATGTGCATCTTCACTCAGATTACAATCTTTTTTTCTTTTGTTTTTGCATATAATCTTCCTGACCTCAGCAGTCTGTGATGCAGAAAATGTTGTTAATTAACTTTAATTTTGTTTGATAGTACAACTTTGTTGGACGTATTCTGGGGCCTAAAGGTTTGACAACCAAGTTGTTAGAACAGGAAACAGGTTGCAAGATTATGGTAAGAGGAAAAGGTTCTACAAGGGATAAGAAGAAGGTATGGACTTTTTATTTTAGTTATGTTTACAACACAACCAATACATTTTGAAGAAAGTTGAAGGAGTAAATTTTATACTTTTTTTTAAAATGTGCTTCTAATAAGTTTTAATCATCTTAAACAGTTTTTATAAGAACTTAAGTGCTTGCTTGTTGTTCAACCTAATGTACTTTTTACCAGATTTATATTTGCAATTATTAAATAACTCAAAGCAGCGTTTTTTATAAGCTACTCCTCAATTTATGATTCATTAAGTACCATACACTTTATTCAAACATATACTCATGCTTGTTGATTAAGTGTAAATACAAATTTATTTGTAGAAAGAGGTGGGATAGGATATATTAAAGATCTTTTTAAAGTAAATTTAGCAGGTTTTCATTTTCAAGAGAAAAAAAATTATATTGAAAGTAGTTTATTGTATGAATGAGTTGATTCTGGAGAAGTACATATCTATATAAACACACACACACACACACACACACACACACACACACACACATACATATATATATATATATATATATA